AAAAGGAATAACAGTTCCTCACTAGAATACAGGTATAAAACAAGGCAAGCACATAATAACAACAGCAGCAGCAACARAAAGAAAAAAACAGAGACCCAACAATAGCCTTCTCTTGGCTGTCAAGCACTTTCCCCTGTGGTGCAGTTACGGCTGCAGCCGGCAGGGGCGCTGGTGGCTCCCGGCTGGGCAGGGCRGGTGCAMTGATTCCCCCTCGGCTGCAGGGGGCGCTGTGGCGCGGGCTCAGCCGCCACTCCATGTGGTAATGGCAGCCCAGCCCGTGGAAGAAATAGAAAAGSGCCTTCCTTTCCAAACTCATGGGGGAGCCGGTCCTTGTGCCTCTCCAGATGGCGAAATGGACTGTAGCAGGAACCTTGGAGCAGAAGGCTGGAACAGTAGAGGTGAGCACACCTGGGAGTGGCATACGAAGTGTAGCAAAAACTCCGGAGGATGTGCCAGGAACCACGGAGATCAGTGCACATGGGGTGTCGGGCTAGCATGTAGCAAAAAAACCCAAAGCAGTGGCAGAAAAACAGCGCGCTAGGCAGCAGCAGCTGGGCTCCAAAAGCAGCTGGGAGACGGCCCCTCCGGAGGGGGAGGGGGCCAGCACTCCACGATTTCCCCAGAGGCACTCAAGTAGATGGTGAGAGTCCCTCCCAGTGAGGTCGAGTGTAGAAAAGGTCCCAGTTCGATGGCCGCTCTTACGAGCAAAGGCTCGCCCAAGGTAAGGAGAAATCAGTGCAGGGCAGAAATCCACAAAGGCCGCGGYGAATTCTCCCCACAGCAACAGCAGCACTGTCTCACTTCTGGTCCAGGGAGAGAGCGGACAGAGAGAGACGGAGGAGCTGAGCCCAGCCCCTCACAGCGCCTCCCCCACCCACCAGTTAAGAGTGTAGCCAGCTGCACCTCTTCCCCACATCTTGGCCATTTCTTGTGTCTCTCTTAAATATCGCCATTACCATCTCTTAGACAACAAATGGGATAAAATTCCCTGAGAGAAARAAAAGGAAAAATCCTAATCTGCASCACCTTATTGACCCATTCTACAAACTGGAAAACAGCCACCACAGCCTTAGTTATAGGACACATGCTTAAATAATGCCTTGCAAACAGGAAGAACATAGCCATGATCATATGCCAACCAAACCAGGGTAGACTAGACCACATGGTGCCACCTAATGAGGTTTCTATACCCAGTACACAAATGGGTTGCCCAAGAGCTGTTGTTGTCTTTTCACCCTTTCCTCTCGATGYACTTGGGCCACACATTGTTCAACAATTAATATCCTGGTTTAAAAGACAGGTATCTGCCAAGGAAGGCAGGAACCTWTCTGAAAGAGAAAGATGAAAGCCCCCCGTCCAAATTATTAACTATTACAAGTTTCCAGGCAAAAATATGGAAAAAGGAATAACAGTTCTTTACTAGTAAATATATATAAAAAACAGGCAAAAAAAATACACAAACCAGAAGTTTTCCCCCGTGTTAAGCAATTTCTCCTTTGGTGTAGTTATGCCCAGAACCGGCAGGGGGAGCTGCTGGCCCRGGTGAGGCAGAAGGGCTGCAGTGGCTCCCCCGTGGCTCCAGGGGGTGCTCCAGTGTGAGCCCAGAGCCTCCCCAGGGGGTAAYGGTGGCCTTGAGGAGACAGAAAAGGTGGGCAGTTCCGTTTCCTTGGACTCCCACATGTCCAGTGAAGTAACCTATGGCAGCTGCCAAGGTTCCAGTCAACCACCAGCTGGGACCCTGTCTATGGAGAGAGAGAGGGCATGGGGGGCCTAGTTTTCCCCTGAAACACCCACACAGATGGTGGTTTCCCAGCAATAGTGAAGTGAATGCTGAAAAGCCCCAGTCAACCAGCAGCTCCTCCAATGGGCAGCAAGAAGAATTCCAGAGCAGCACCGAACCCTGGGCAGAAGTCCAACACCAAAACCCGCAATCGTCTTCCCTCCAAGCAGGGCAAACACTGCACTAGCTCCAGCTAAGAGATTGCCAAAAAAACCCTGTTCCCCCCCCTCCCCAAATCATTTCAGGGTCAGGCACTTGCCCATTCCTTTTCTGTCTTAATTTTTGCCATTTTACCTAGCAAGCTGCCTCCCCTGCGTCTCCTTGACAACAAATGGGAAGAAATTACTTTGAGAAAACTTAACCACTAACACYCAGCTACTCAGACTCCCTTAGTCTAAGTAGAAGAGATAGTTTTTAAATTAAACCTGCTTTTTTTTTCCCTAAGATGTTAATGCACTACCTTGTATTTACTGCTGCAAGAGAGCATCAGGTATTTAAAGGGTTTAGTAACTCTGCAATATGTGACAGCAAAGCAAAGTCCATGAATAATTTCTTTTTGGTTACCTGYTGTGGTTTAGGAATGGTATTCTCCAATTTAGTGTTCACACAAACACTATGTGCCACTTGCTTAATCACCCCTCCCTGCTGTGGTGGAAGAGAATTGGAGGCATAAAACATGTTGAGATAAGAACAATTTACTGGAAATAGCAATAAGATAAGTAACAGCAACAATATTTATGACAAAAGTGTACAAGAGAGAGGTGAGTGACTTCACATGCAACCTGACTGCAGCCACGGTACCCTGGGATCAGAGTCCTTCCTCCATTCCTGGAAAATGCTGTGAACTGGTATAGACTAACCTCCAAGTCCTGGCCAAAACCCTCTCCTGGCTACTGCAGAAATTAACCCTGTCCTGGACAGAATCAGGACATCACCATATTCTTTTAGGAGCTTTGACAGCCCCTTTCAGTGTAGCTCAAATCCCCTAGCAAAGCAGGCTAAATACATGCATAAATAGGAGGGTCCAAAAGCACACTTCTCTACCTCTGCTAGAAKGATCTCCATATCCCAGCTAAATCTTTTCAATTTATTCTATAAAGGTGACAAGACCATAGAATCATAAAAACACAAAGTTTGARAAAGACCTCAAAGACCATCAAGTCCAGTCATCAACCTAATACCACCACCATGTTCACTAAATCACATCCCCAGTTGCCACATCCAAACAGCTTTTGAACACTTTCCAGGATGGTAATTCTGCCACTGCCCTGGGCAGCCTGTTGCACTGCCTGACCATACTTTCAGGGAAGACATTTTCCCTAATATCCAGTCTGAACTTCCCCTGGCACAACTTGAGGCCATTTCCTCTTCTGTCCCTTGTTCCGTGGAGCAGAGCCCCACTCCCCGGCTGCCCCCTCCTGTCAGGGAGTTGTGCAGAGCCAGAAGGACCCCTGGAGCCTCCTTTGCTCCAGGCTGGACCCCCCCCCCCCCCAGCTCCCTCAGCTGCTTTTCATCAGATTTGTGCTCCCCTCAACTCTGCTGCCCTTTTCTATACACAGAGATTGACTTMAGAAATAAAGCTATTTTGTACAGGAGGGGTTTTGTTCATTTTTCTRTTTAAGGACCCTTGGCTGTAATTAAGGGGATACTATACTGCAAAACATCTGAGCTAGAAAGCATTTCCCACCCCAGCTCTTTTGAAGCCATCAGATCAGGCTGAATAAAGATAAGGTTTGCATGGAGCCACATGAAGTTATTGCTCTCCTCACCCTGGTACAAAGGTTCAGTTCTAACTCTTTGATGGTAAAATAGGAAAAGGCTTTTAGAGGAATTACCAGAAAATTCCACATGCAACAATTTTTTTTTAATCTTTCAGAATTTTTTTTTTAGGTCAGGAATTAAAACAAAAATAATCTAGGATTTCCATAATTAAAGGCATCTTAATGAGATAAATCCACCATGATTGCTTTTGTTTATGCTCCCAAACATTGGAAACAAAGCACTATTTCTGGACAGTGCTCCATATCCTGTTATCTGGAAAAGGCTTGAATAGAAAAGCTGACATAATCACTTATATCTCTTCCCTTGCCTCAATATATTAGCAGATATCAGGTACTTATGGCACACATTTCCTATCCCTGGCCYTTTTTTTACTGAAGCTTGTTAATAAAATTCTCCATTTTCACAGCACTTCCATTTTAACTTYATGAGTAGGATGGTGTTACAGACTCTTGCTCTATACCAACACAGAGTAAGCAAATGCCATTGCTTTTTAAATACTTTCCACTCTTAWGAGAAAACAGAGTAATAGCAAATATTCAATTATTTTCTCTTGAAAGTCACCAGATATATTTGATTTTCTTTCCTTATGAAAAATAATGGGTATTGTTCTCACRTAGGAAGCACAGCAACAGAATAATGTAAAGTATAACAGGAACACTGAAAAATTGAAAAAATAATACAGTATAAAACCCAGCAACCAGACATGCTGGAGAACCTAAAGCACAAGCTTTGCCTTTTAGCAGAATGCTGGTGGCAAAAAAAAGTTGTTCAGTAATTTAAAACTTCTAAAATCCAAATTTATCGTTGTTACACTCAGCATTTCTCTTCTGCATATATCAAAATGCTGTTAGGTATAGAATGAGAGTGTTTAATGTCATTGTGGCAAATGAAAATAYTCCAAATCAATAAAAATGCTGCATCCTGATGCTTAAGAGACAATATGTTAAAATACATACCATCCCCTTCTAGAAGGCACATCTTCTAACCAAAGAATACATATTTATATTTYTACATCTACCAATGAGATTGAACTTTACATTGAGAAAGTGACAAAGGGAAAAAAAAATTAATTAATCAAATTATGCATTTAGTCAGATTTTCTTGCTATTTTAATAAATTAATGTAGAATTGACATTCCTGATAATCCTTTCTTTTCCAAAAAATAATTCCAGGGAGATGAATCAAAAGGGTTTGCCAATTAGCCACGTGATGGAGAGAGTAGCTACAAACAGAGAGTATTTCTGCCCATTTCAATTTTAAAAGTTACTTGATTCTCAGGGATTTTCCTCCTACTTCTGAAGAAGGACCAGCCTCTGCTGGAACATATCCATATGATACWGATCGTGTTCATCTTGTTCATCTGTTTCACAAACACAGTCTATTAATTTAAGGTTAGTGAAGTCCCACTAAAGTTCAACGAGATTCTTTCCTTTCTTACCTTTATCTGAGTGACATTTCCTTCAAGTTCTGTAGATGCCTGGAACTTCCACTTCTCCTTGCCCTCCAAAGCCCATGTGCTCTGATCAGATCCTGCTGCTTTCTTCCACATTGCCACTCTCCCCTTGCTAGTTCCAGCTGCCAAGAGACCTGCCGTTCAAAAACATTTCAGGCATTTCAACTTGGACTTCAGATTCAGGCATTTCATCTTGGACTTCAGATAGACAAACCCACATCAGTCAATCTAACAGGCAACTCTGGTTCTCAGGTACCGAGASGCCGCCTTCCAGCAGCAGCATTTCTTGCCTCACTGCAAACCAACATCCTAGTCCTGGATTGGAGAACTGTTCTGGAGAAACAAYGGGAGAAGTTCCACGTGGCAAGGTGCATCCTCTCAGCTACCAGATGAAATGATTTTTTAAATGTGTCAGATAATTACTTAATTTTAACCATTTCTTAGAATATAGAACTATTGAATATCCTGAGCTGGAAGAGACCCCAAGGGTGATCCWGTCCAGCTCCCGGGCCTTGCACAGGACAGTCCCAGGAATCCCAACAATGTCCAAACACTCCTTGACTTCTGGCAGCCTTGGAGTAATCCCCACTTCCCTGGAGTGCCTGCCCACCCTCTGGGGGAAGAACCTTTTCCTGATATCAAGTCTAACCCTTCCCTGGCTGGACACAACTCCAGCTGTTCCCTGAGGTCCTGTCACTGCTCACAGAAACCAGAGATCGGATCTGCGCCTCGTGAGGAAGCTGCACAATGAACAGTCTCCTCCAGGATGAACAAACTAAGTGTTCAAACTAAGAAACAAGCCATTCCTCCCACAGTTTGTGTTTATTTTTAAATAGCTGGTTTTGTAGTCACCTTGGGCCACCAACCACTGAAAATCATTCCAGAAGACATCAGCTACACCTACGCTGGCAAGCCCGGGAGTAGCTGTGTAGAAAGGATCTGTTGTAAGGACCTGGCATCCATACAATACATGCTGGTAAGTTCTTTTTTCACATTAGCTGTAGTGCAGGCTTGTAGATTGAATGCCCAAAACACACTGGAGTGCATTAGGTGTACTCCAGGGGTACTTGTATCAAAGGGAATCCAGCTTGTGTGCCATGACACAGCTCCACAATGAATCCAAGTGTAGCTGAGTATCAAATGATCTCCCTGCACCTTTAAAGGCACATTTCTGATCCAGACCAGAATCTTCTACATCACATACTACCACTGAGATCCTCAGTCACAAGACAAACATACTGACATGATTACAGGGCATGGAAGGCTGAGCTTTGACAAGGTTTARGACCAATGATCACAGCTGCCATGTTATTTCTCACCTTTAGCACTGCAGTAAGACACACAGTTAATACATTCTCCCCCGTCAAAGCCAAATTGCACATCTAGGGAGAGCACATAGTTCTCATCTCGATCCAAATCCCAGAACCTAAGGCACACAAAACCAGAGTGTTAACAATGCTTTTCTTTCCAGGTGTCTTGCCAAACACAGTCAATAAGATGTTGTAAATGGCATTAATTTACTATTTCCATAATACCCAGATATTTTAATTTTAAAAATTAAATGGTCAGCAGCTGCCTCTGGAGTTTCTTAAAAATCTCCTTCCTTTTCCTTAGACTTTTTAATCTGCAGCATGTTTAGGGGTATTCTCTCCTATGAAGAAAGAAGTCAGAAGCAAGTGCAGCTTTAACGAAACAAAAAAGTGAGGGCTAGTTGCAATTTTCTTCCTCTCTTATTATGCCTCCTCCTCAATTTTAAGAATATTCCTTGATTAGCTAGTAGTCCTTTGGATTCCAGATTTATTTTCTAGAACTAAATATTGCCATGAAACTWTTCCTTCTTGACACTTGGTCTTTATTGCATTCTCACAGAGTTAACAGAAGATTCTGTCTGATAGTAGCAGACAGAGGCTCAATGAAGTGAGGTACTGATATTAATGGAACACTCCTACCCTCCTAAAAGGAAACAGGTAGAACAAGTCATAGTAAAAGAAGAAAATATTCCAAAAAGGTAAAACTACAGAGCACAGTAACATAACAGCATGGCAAAGCAATATATTTTAGAGGATTTGAGCCAGAAGTAATTGAAATACTTGTCTTATAGCACTTTTTGCTGGTTGCTGATGCTATGAGTATCCTACAGATCACATAGTAAYATTGGCAAGAACACCAAAGGGGCTATACTTTCTTGCAAAACCCCCAYTGGATTTATTTTTGGAAGAAATCAATAACAGCACTGAAGGAAGGAAGAGATTTGGGTGGCACTGCCTGACAAAATAAAATATCTAGAGCAAAAGAAAGCCATACCAAATTAGTTTTGTTTTTCATTTAATTTCTCTACTTATTTTGACAAAATTAGGAAATACTGGAAGTTTTTCACTCTTGGTAAAAAAAMCCCAACCAACGTTTTAGCAAAATATTCAGTTCATTGCAGACTGACTTTTAGTTGACCCTTCTCAGGGGCATTTAGAACAACTTTCATTCTTACCTGATGACTGTCTCACCCAGTGCTGTAACAACTAGGCTATGGTCTATTAGAATCATGTCCGCAGAATGACCAGTCGTCCCACTCAACTTCACCTGTTAACCAAAAGGGAATTAATAAATTTACAGGAGGTGGGAGAAACACGCTGAAGGACAGTAAGCATCTGAACTGCATAGTTCAGCTAAAAAGTAAAAATAGACCTATCTGTCAATTCAGACAAACRTATTCAGACAGTGAATTCAGACAAATGATAACCACTAAATGCATCAAGACTGCAATGTACAAAYTTAATAAAAGAAATCTTTTAGTGGGCTAATCAAGCAGATAAGGAACAGTATGTTACTCTTGCACTAGATCTTTTCCTAGAATTTAATAAAGATTGCTTTAAAATGTGAAATACCAAATCTTACTTCTAGTCAAACSTAAGTAATGATCAATAAGAAGTGGACGCTCCTGTAATACATAAGTGTGTCTTTTTCTGKCTTGGAGAAAAAGAAAAAAACATCTTAGGGGTCTACCCACAAGCAGCATTCTGTAATAGCATAGGACAGGGTGTGAGACATTTCCTCTTTAATTTCTTCTYTTAATTTCTGGAGTTCCTTAGTCAGTCATTCCAGTGAGGAGAAACAGGCCCATATCGGGGTGGAGATAGTGTCTCCATATATCTGGGGTTTGGTAACCAAAGTGCCCGCATTTTGTTCTTCTTCCTTCAATTACATCTCTCCTAATGAGTTGGCATGGCACTGGTGCTCTCTGTTGGAATTTCCACCATATGTTTTGGGTACATTGGATAACTTGCTTCATGGTGTACCATTTGTCTCAGTACATTAAAACATCATCTTTCCAAGGAAACCTTTCCCTCACATTTGACAGGAGCTGCCTCCAGAGGCTGACAGTTTCTGGTCTTTTCCCAATCCCCTGGTGAATACTCACATCCCAGGACGTGGATCCCAGTTGCAAGGCTTCACTACCATCTAATTTCATATCAGGGGCCACGATAGCCCAGCATCAGAGCAGCTAGGTCACTGGGGGCTCACCTGAGTGGAGGCTAAAATCTTGCATGCCTCGCAGCTCAGCCAGGGATAGGGATTGGGTRATTATCTCTGGCCCTGCCTCTTCTTCCTGTTGTGAGGGCACTGCTTCCTCTTCATCACACACTRCATGAACAGATTTGATCTTGGATTTCTTCTTCTGAATACAGACAACTGCTCCTAGCACAGGCTGTTCTTGTGGTTCAGCTGCAGTTTGAATGGCCATGGTGCCTGTTGCTCTGCTTTCTTCCTCCCCCCTTTGAGGGCACTGTACAGAAACAAGCAGTGTCCAGTAAGTAGTAGCCAGGGTCCAGCACGTTCCATAACTTTGCACCTCTCTGGAACTGCCACAGAAATTTTCTTTCAAACATCCTGCCACTTTATCAGGGTCTTGTAGCTGTTCRGGGATGAACTTCCAAACCAGGAGCAGAAGACTGCCTCAAAAGCTGGCCCATTTTCTCCCACATCACTCTATTAATGATTATCCCTCCCAGGACATGTCTCTGGACTACTTCCCTAGAAATCTCTCTCCTGAATCTTAACATGGAGTAAACTGTACAGAGAAGACATGGTAGACATGTCATTGAGGGGATGCTTCCTTTAACACCCAAAGAGAATTCAAAATTCTCAAAAGCTATTGTAGCAGACGTGAAGGAGAAGAGGATAAACAGTTTGGAAAAATCATCCTCTTYCTCCCAYAGGCTGGGTATGATCATTAATGAATCCTCAGAAGTAGGAGCCAAGGCCAGAACAGGAGAACAATTCTGAAGACACATCCCAAATGACCCCCGTTGTCTTTGATGTTATCATGCCATAAGAGCACAGAGTAGAGCAATCTTGATCCTTCTTCCTGCTTTGAAACAGATCACCATGGCGATACATAGTGCATATACAGGAGCATATACAGGGTTAGCCCACATGATCACTGGAACCAGGGAGTCTCCACCTAAAACACAAATGCTTAGATCAAACTTATCTCAATCCTCTTGAGGCTTACCTTGGGTGCCAATTAAATGTGGTGGTTTAACACAAGCAAAAAATTGAACTCTAAATAAGCYATTGYCCTTCTCCTACCTATTCCAGTAAGGCAGGGACACTAGCACAGACTATGGGTTGAGATAATTTACTGAAAGCAAAAAGCAATGGAATAAGAAACACGCATTAACAACAGCAATATGATTTTAAAAATATACAAAACCAGTAGGTGTTTTACCCACAAAAAATTAGTTTTATGTGGCTGSTGAGACCAAAACCAAAATGGGGGATGCTCCCCGTAGGTTGCATCCACGTGACTTCCCCAGGTTCCCACATGCYGCCACAAACAAAGGCAGTTTGGCACAGGGCTTCCTGCCCTCCCCAGGCCAAGACAACGAAAAACAATGGCAAACAGACCCCCTGAAAGCTGGGTCATCCAAGGCAATTGCTCTGCAGCTCCACTGGGCTCAGTTCCATAGAAGTGCCTGCTTCTACTGCTCCAAAATGCTGGGGGTTGGTCCTGCATGTTGCTGTCASTTCCCTGCAATTGTGCTCTCCTTTWGGCCTGGCTTAGCTTGAACAGGCTTGGCTGGACTGGGTCAAGTGGGCTCTCTTTGGCTGGGCTGGGGACCTCCCCTATCACCCCACAGCCTCCCTGCTGGTGCTGCCGTTCAGCTGGGTTCTGGATGCCACYGCTTTCCTTTCAAGACCGTATTCCATAGCTGCATCTCAGAGAAAATGGGAGAGGATGGATGGCAGGGACACAAGATGGACTCCGCAGGGCTGATGCTGACAACCTTCCCATGAGAMAGAGCAAGGCAGAAAGGTGCCCACYTCTGGGGTGTGCGTTGTTTTCTCCCCAAAACCAGAGATGATGTAGTTGGGATAGAATAACAACTCGGCCACACCTACACAGCGCTAAGCTCTGCCACCCGCTGCAACGAAGACAACTGGAATTTCCAATTTTTCTCTAATTCACTAAGAAAATTAAATTATGTGTAAAAGGATTGAGAGACGGTCAAAATGACAAAACTATGAAAAAACAGGAAGACAAAATGAAAACCATCTTTCCAAGTCCAGTAACACATCACTCTATTCCACTTTTAGATGAGCTATTTTTGCGTCTTCATCAAGGTATTATCTGAGAAACAAAAACGATAGTTGATTCATTTGAAAGCAAAACAGTGATATAAAAAAACCCCAAACAAATACTTATAAAGAATAAATATTGCAACTTTATCCTGCAGTATGAGTCTTACCTTCATGAGCTCTTCTGCCTCTCCCTCAGGAGGAACTGCATGTAAGGACAACTGCAGATTGTCTGTTATTACGAGTAAAACATCTCTTTCCTCTAGCAACAGGAGCTTTCGGATCAGGCTGTCTGTGGACAATACCTGCCTTGTCTTYCCTTTCTCATTCACATAGTGTACAGAACCTGCAGCACAAATAAACAAGGTACAGAYTTTAGTCAATAGCTATTAGCTACAAAAGTCAAAGTTGCTGCTTTCTGTCTTAATAGAACATTCCTCAAGTACTGAAAAGGTAAAAATAGCAACATTCTTTTGTCTTCTACTTTGTCTCAGGATACAGACTACAACAAATGACCAAAGCATGCCTTTCCCCATTTAGAAAATCAAAAGGCGAGTAATTTAAATAATTTTAAACAGCAAGTAAGCTTTCAGTATAGATGATGGCTTCTGAAATCTTCAGTTTTAGAAAAAGATCTGTGAAAGAAGAATGGCAGCTAAAAATTGGTTCAATTTACAGCAGAGTTTAGAGGACAGAAAACTGTRGCCCTGAAGTTCTTCACTGTTTAGCAAAGACTGTACCACAAACCAAATTCAGCTTTAATCCATAATTTCACTGGCAAATGGGACAATGTCTTTCTAAAAACACTGACAACAGCAATTGTGGCACCTATCAACACTTCAGAAGCCATTATAATTTCATTAAGTWGTGCTATTCTATAAATCACAGAATCATCAAGGTTGGAAAAGACCTCTAAAATCATCAAGTCCAATTTTTTACCAAGTACCACCACACCCACTAAACCATATAATGAAGTGCCACATCTAGTCGTTTTTGAACATMTCCTGGGATGGTAATTCCACCACTACCCTGGGCAGCCTGTAGCACTGCCTAACTACACTTTCAGGGAAGACATTTTGCCTAATATCTAATCTGAATCTGCCCGGCGCAACTTGAGGTCATTTCCTCTTCTCCTTTCCCTTGTTCCCTGGGAGCAGAGCCTGACCCGCACCAGGCTGCCCTCTCCTGTGAGGGAGTTGTGGAGAGTGAGAAGGTCCCCCCTGAACATCCTTTCCTCCAGGACCCCCAGCACTCCCAGGGCCTTTCCTGCTGGGAACTTTCCAGCCACTCTCACTCAAACCTGGAGTACTCCATGGGGTTGTTGCCACCCAAAGTGCACCACGTGGTATTTTGCCTTATTGAACCTCATACAATTGGCCTTGGCCCATTGTCTACACGGGTTCAGGCAATGAAATGCCTTATAAGCAGTRCAGTTGTTTGCAAGTGGTATTACAAAAATCACTCAAACCCATGTAAAGAAAATCTTACATATCTCAAGCCACACCCACATAATTTCTTAGTAAATCATGGTATTATATAAGGTATCATTTTATACCACTGCAAATCAAAAAACCTATGAAATTAAATAGCATCTTCCCCCAAAAGCTTAAGCAGAAAACACAAGTATATAAGAATGAACATTAAGGATCAGCACTAAAATGTTGTACCCAAGAGATTATATGGTCTGATTAAAAAAAATGATGAATTTCCAGAACTCCTGCAAATATAATACCATCCCCTACATTCCAGCAATATAAAAAATTTTCCTGTCCCACTACTTTATATTCCCCCTGAAATAAAACASTGCACAGATATCTTCATCTTGTTAAATCACAGGAAAGTTTGAGTCTGAAGGAACTTTTAAAATTAATTTCTTTCCAACTTTCTTGCCATAGGCAGGAATACCTCCCTCTATGCCAGGTTGCTCCAAGCCCTGTCCAAACYGCCCTTGAACCCTTCCAGGGACGGTGCAGCCACAGTTTCTCCGGGCAGCTGGTACCAGGACCTCRCCACCCTCAGAGAGAACAATTCCTTCCCAATATCCCATCTAAATCCACCCKCTGGCAGTGGGAAGCCATTCCCTGTGTCCTGTCCCTCCAGACCCTTTGTCCCAAGTCCCTCTCCAGCTGTTCTGGAGYCCCTTTGGGCACTGGAAGGGGCTTTAAGRTCTCCCTGGAGCCTTCTGTTCTTCAGGTGAAGGCTCCCAGCTCTCCCAGCCTCTCTCCAGCACAGAGGGGCTCCAGTCATTGGAGTATTTCCATGGCTTCCTCTGGACTCATTCTGTGTCAGCTGGACTCAGCTCCATGCCATTCYTGTGTTGAGAACCCAAAGCTGGAGGCAGCTCTGCAAGTGGGTSTCACCTGAGTGGGGCAGAGGGGCRGAATCTCCATCTCCCCTGCTGCCTATACTGTGGGATCAGCCCAGCACACAGGGGTTTCTGGGTGCCAGCACACATGACCAAGGTATGTCCAGCTCTTACTCACCAGCACCCCCAAGTCCCTCTCAGGATATTTAGGACTTAGGACAGATCACAAACTAGATTAAGAATGGAGTCCAAAATAAATATACCCATACCAAGCTAAGCAATGAGGCTCACAAGGAACAGTAGTGTCATTTGAGTGAAATTTTAAGAAGTTTGGCAAGGAGGCCCAAACCAAGCACAGCACCCGCAGGACACAAAGCCTGTCCCTAGATGGGGCTCTGCACCACCACAAAAGCGGTTTTGAAGGTGAGGATGGAATGGGCTTCTCAAAGATTCTCTCTGTATCCATTCTTCATTTAAATGGTTCCTACCTAGTAAAGAGGCTTGTAATTCACAAATCAAAAGAAGGTACATTCCACTGCTCTACAAACCAACCATGCAGCTGGCCCATGGTAGTCCAGCAAGCTTTACTGGTGTAAACAAGGGATTTTGGTAAAACACTGAATCAAATTGTAACTGAACTGCAGAACCAGCATAACTGAAATATTTTCAGAGCAGTTTACACTTGAGTCCAMGAGGATTACGTACTCGAATCACCTACCAGAAACACACCCATTATGCAACTTATCACACACATTCTGGCTCCAGTTCAGAGAGAACAAGTTAGAGAGAGATGGCATCATGTAAAGAATTAGGGTGGAAAGAAAATTAACTTAGAGCAAACTAGTACCCAGAAAACRAAAAGGGATAGGAAAAGACAGGGAAGAGTAAAAGTAAAAAGGAAGGTGGAAACTGCAGAGAAGAATTGACATTAGGGAGAAAACTAACAAAGCAGACTCTCAGACTTTTTGATCTGCAAGACTGAAGCATCATTTCAAAGCATGAGAAAAAAAAGTGAAAAATTCAGAATTTATTTTAAGTGGTATGTTTTAGCAGAATTTGCCTATTTAYAGGAAAAAGAACCTACAACACATGCATTATTTTGAAGCTTTACACAAAAGATAATTTGATCTAYACTTGTGTGTTAGATACTGTTTTCCTCATACTCACTTCTTCAGGAATCTGACTAACCCACTACCTCTGGTGTCCCTGWGAACAAGAATACCCTGAAGATAAGATTTCAATAATTTTATTCATTTCTTACCAAACATTCTACAACTATGAATGCACTACCCCACTGAATATAYGAATACGATGGATGTATGAATATACCCCAGATGCTGGATATATGAAAACAAGACTTTCATGCACTGAGCTATTTTGAAATCCTAAGAAAACAACTTCCCAGCAAAATGGAAACATGGTTTTTCGTTCTTACCATCTGTCAAAGTGATAAAGAAGGAGAGTCCTTCCTGGACTGCCATGTTCAGAGGTGGTCCCATTCCGGCTTTCCTCCAGTTAAACATATCCAAGGCTTTCTCATCACCACTCACAGCYGCTTTTGCCAGCTGTACAAAGTCCCTGTAAAGAGATATTTCATTCCCAATTCCTTTCATAACAGAACAGTTTCACTCTCAAAGACTGTATGAGTTGTTAATAAAACATCTTGTATAAAGAGAATAAATATGTTTCATACACTGATTTAAAAAAGGGCAAACTCAAAAAGAATTTTAATATTAATTTTCATTTTCATTGTTTCACCTGTTTTTTCCATATGCATCACTGTTCTTACAGAGATGAGAAACAGAAAAGCCCAGACAAGGAAAACTCTTCTTTTTTACTACAGCTGCTTCCTATTTCTTGCTTAGAGAGGAAAGAAACAAGAATGTTTAAAAACTGGCTTTTAATTTAATTATTTTTGGCAATAATATAATGATAATTGTGTTTCCAGTGTGTTTATGGCTTTCCACAATCAGCAACATTGCTACTTAGAAGAACTAAGACAGAAGAGTAAATAGCAACAGACAGAAGATGTGGGCAAGAGAAAGAAGATCTGTTGCTGCAGTCAGGACACAAAGCCAGCTACCAGAGTGGGAGAAGATCTTGGAAATAAAGGGCAGGTAGGAAAAAGAACTTTTTTTAATATATTTTTTAAAAATTCATCTGTCGGTAAGACTTCCTCTCTGTCTCCCTCTTTGGAACAAGACAAAGACCTGGTCTAGTACAACTCTGATGGGGCCAATACTCACTTGCCAGGAGGGGGTGGCCGAAAGACACAGTGACACAAGCATTTGCCATACTCTTGCTTAATCAGGGCAGGACCCTGCACTCTGCCTCGATGGTCCATTTTCCACAGAAACAAGACACCATGCTAGAAAAAGACAAGATAGTTCATTACCCTTTGCACAAAGAAGAGAATCCAGACTCCAGCTACTCACTGCACATAAAAATAAATGTTTTAATTGACAGAGAAACACCCTTCCGTACATTTAGTTGACACATACAATTACTCCCACTTTWAGCCACAGGGAATCAAAGTTATCTTCAACTTTACATTATTTGCTTATTTAGTATCAAATAGTCTAAAAAAGTTTGTTAGTCCTATCCATTTTTAGTTAAATTACACTGCCAGAGCAATTAAATGGAATAGTCTTGGTTTTCTTCTGGAAGTAGCAGATGTTAATATTTTTGATAACATCCTTTCCACATTTTTTCTTGCAAGTAAGTCTGATAGTTTATCTTTTAGCAAATGAAGTAGAGGATAGTAGAGCATATGCATCTCTCAGTAAGTGCATATAACACTGATACAGATGAGCACGTGTATATGCTTAGACACATAAGGTCAAAGGATCCAGAAAGACTAAGGGCAGAATTTCTGAATTGCTCRAGCTTTCCTCCTCTCTCAGAGAACACATTCAAGAATTTACTTCTAGAAAAAGAATCCAGTAACTAGAATAATCATAGATGGTAAAGAAAGGAAGGMTGGCTAGCTTATTAACACAACAGTGGTCAACACAGGCCAGCCCTCGAGCCTGGCGCAGGTGCTGACATAACTCACACTCTGCAGTGCCAGCTCAATAGCACCAAAACCCTGGTGACTGGAAAGAATGGAGACAAATTGCAACAAACTGACTTACACTACATCCTCACAGCTGGAATGCTAAGATGACTATTGTTGTTGTTATGCTAGTGCTTATGAAACCAAATTGCTTTTGGGAACCCTCCATGTAAGCACTACATGAAAAAACCCAGCAACAATTTTCAACATCAAGTTCAATCTMATTTTGTTTTATTAAGATAGATAACAATAAAGTGGTATTAGAATTTGCTCTATTTTTTTTTTGTTGTTGTTTTCAATGAAGTATCATCCTTCTCCTAGAATTGAAAGACTGGTAGCAGTGGTCATTTATTTTTCACAATTCTAAATAGAAGCTACACAAGATGCAGCTGAGGCCTTCAAAGGTACCATTTCCTTCTTTTTTTCCTGAGATAGAAAGTTCTAACTTCTTTTCAAAAGTAAGATGTCAGTAATTATATCATCCAAAACGGTTTATTAAGTGCAATTTGTCTYGTAGCTTAAAGAATGCCACTGTACAACTCTGACACTTCTGTACTCCTGTCCCAAGAGGACACTTGCAATTCATAAAAATGTTTGCTAGCTACCTCTGAAAGTCACAGGGTCATATGAATTTGTTGGTTCTTCCTCTCACTCTTCCATCAGCTTTATATGTCACCACTTTCCAAGGATTCCAGCTAAATCACCTATACCATTCATAAGATGGAGGAAGAGCCTGTAGCTTTCTAAAGCTGCTGGCCTTTTTTCCATCTCATTCTAGATATTCCTGCCTGTTTCCAGATAACCTGCTTGCAAACTCAATTCTTAGTTTGGAACATATGAGACTGGAAATAAAAAATGCTCATTACCTCTCCTAAGTGTCACTGGAAAGGATGCTGAACTGGTCTGTTTTCAAATGATATTTGAAAAGGACATTGGACATTGACCTTATCATCTACCTAAATATCCTTTCCAAATATTCTCTGATTCTATCCTGTACCTTCCCAATCATTTTTAAAAATCCAAAGCTAAAGCTTTGKTATGAAAGCTATTTGCCTTAAAAATAGGCTTTCATTATAGAAASCACCTAGATCCTTTGTGTGATCAAAACATGAAAATCATCCATGTTATTTTTACTTAAAACAAATAAGAGCTTCTGATTTTCACAGCATCCTAYTCCAACTTTATGAAGTTATTTTCAAATAATTCCTTTGCATTTCAGGATGTATGGTGACAGAAATCCTAGTGAAGACAGAATCATAGAATATGCTCAGTTGGAAGTGACTCACACAGATCATCAAGTTCAATCCCTGGCCCTGCACAGACACCCCAACAAYCCCATCCTGTGCCTGAGAGCATTGTCCAAAGGCTCCTGGAGTTCTGGCAGCCTTAGGCTCTGACCATTCCCTTTCCCACGTCCAACCACCTCTGGGTAAAACAGAAACCAAATCAGGGTCCAAATATTAATCTTTTTTCTAAAGGTTTCCCTCTAATATGAGCAGAGCATGATCCTGGCAGTTTCCTGAATCTAAACCTTCATGGAAAAATATTAAAAATAAAGTTTTAAACTATTGGAAAAGACGTAGGAAAATAAACATATCTATGCTGCACTCAAAYCATAGCATAATGACACTTGTTGGAAATCAATTTGAAAATAATATTGTTCATAAATATAAGCTCTGTCTACATTAATGTGTTGTTTCACTATGATTAAGGCCTCAGTTATACTGAGATGTGTCCATCTTTTGCCTGGGCAGAACTTCCCCTTTTCTAATAAAGATGATAAATTCTTTTTTAACTCAATTTTGAATTTACAAACAAAAACTTGCAGACCTTTACAAACAATGAATCAAAATAATATTTTCCTCTGATTTATATAGAGTAAAAATTCTGATATATAGGTAAGAGCAGAACTGAAGTTCTGGGGCAACCTCAAGTTTGTATCAGGGAAAATACAGGGAAAAAMCCACCATTTTCTTCTTCATTTGCTGACTCAAGAACTGCCAAAATCAGAATTTTCTATGAATACTTAATCCTAAATATTCAATAGCTGCTTTCTCACTTCACTATATAAAAGGACAAGACAACCAGCTCATTAAGAAATGGAGTGTCACATTTTGCAATACAATCAATTTGACACAATTTAAGGCATTAATAAAACCAGAAAAAGATTAGCATGGGTTTCCTGTACTTAAGTGAGCACTGCTTGGCACTCACCGTAGATGAATATATTGTAGCTGGAATTTTTTTCTCAACATCTGGGCTTTATTCCCGAGCCTGCCACAAAATCTGTGCATGGACAGGAGCAAAAGAATTCAAATTGTCTATGCCTCAATTACTCCATCCATGAAATAGCCTTAAACCTTCATCAACACTCAGTACTCRCTGAGGTTAGACACACTTTTAGTTAAAGAAAAATTGTAGAACAGTAATTCTTTAATTGCAGAAAAATATTGTAGAAAAAGTTAAAACACTAATATTTGAATTTATTCCCTAACAGTTTTAATTTGTACCTAAGGAAAGGAAACTTCTCTCCCACACAACCCTCCCTTCCCCATGCATCTCCATTCCATGATCCTTTCCCATTACAGAGCTTCCACATCAAGCACAYATGTGGCATTTCAGTTGCTTACCCCATCCCCAGATACGAGGCAGGTACCACTTGTACTCCAGCTCAGGACCATGATTTTGGCACKGTGATTTGAGGGTACAGTGTGCTGCTCCTTATCTTGTTTGTTCAGTATCAGAACTTCTCCTGTCTCCCATCCTGATGCCAGAATGGGTCTGGAAGGGTGCCAGGCAAGTAATGTGACCTCAAAGCTTCTCTCAAGATGAGAATCAGACACATGTTCTCCCTGTAAACAGAAATCAGTGTTAGCTCAGTTCAATTGAAACTCAGCAGCCAAACCTTCAGACTCCCAGCCCAGTCAATATCAAGATTTCTCTCCTGTATAAATGATGTAAGGCTTTGAGCACATTTCAAGGTAAAAAGAAATTCCAGCTATTGTAAAGAATAAAGCACATAATCTAAAGCTTCAACAGTTCTTAAAGGCAGATCCTCTTTTAGGYGTGGTTCGCAAGAATATTTCACAAATCATTTAACATCTCTGTGTATTTATTTTTCCATTTGTAAAACTTGGATGACAATTTTTCAGAATACTTTGAAAAGTACACATTTTATAGGCTACTCATGTTAACAGACTTACATGTTTCAGTAAGTCTGCTGCTAGATAGAGTGTAGTGCTATTTCCTAAAAATTACGCAAACCAAAGTCTTACACAACACTCTCATGTAAAAGTTAGAGTACGCAAAAGAAATACCTGTCCACAGACAGACACTGTACTAGGAAGCAACCTACTTAAATGGAACAAGCTGAGTCCAACAAATCAGTTCAGTCTCAAGATGGTGGAATGATTTGTTTAATTTTCATTTCCTAGTATRTTCTATTAAGAGTCAAAAAGCAGCAGCAACATGAGTTTATTTACTTAGAAGCCTGAAATTCTCACACTATGAGAAGCAAAAAGCAAATCAGTAACCATCACAGACAAGACTTACAGGCTGTAAACATAAAATCTCAAAGGGAACATCAATTTAATTATTAAGATCTTTTTAAAAACACATATAATGAGTGGCTGATGAATTTGTTATGTTATAGRTACACAGGACATAGACAGTAAATAACATCCAGAGAGAGAATTAAAGAGGATAAGTAAGGCTGCAAAAATAGAGATTAAAATGTGAAATTTTTAATTAGGACAATTATAAAGGTTGCTGAGAGAAGCTGTGATTTCTCATGTATCTCTCACACCTCTGGAAGTGTTCAAGGCCAGGTTAGACAGTGCTTGGATCAACCTGGCCCAGTAGAAGGTATCCCTGCCCATGGCAGGGGATTGGGACAAGATGATCTTTAAGGTCCCTTCCAACCCAAACCATCYTGTGATTCCCTGACTCTGTATCAAAAACAAAAGCAAAGTTGCTGATTTTTCACCTGCTCAAGGTAGATATCCACACAGCCCCCAGCTGCTGTGCTGATGGAAGCAACTGCCAGGAGTGGATGAAGTGGGTGCCATGCTATATRGGAAGGGGAGGCAATGGAATCAGGAGCATCTGTTCGATGATCCACGTACACAGCCATAACAACAGGAGCTGTCACAGACTGCACACCTGTACAAGGAAAACAAACATCTCAAACAAGTATGCTTACATAGATAATACATATATACTACATATATGCTATATTATATTTTATTTATGTACTATATATAATGATGTGTATGGTTAAAACACAGGGGGGAAATAAAACTACAGCATTGTCTTGTTACACATGCTACACAGACATGAGAAAGGTCAGAGTGGTATTTAAAAAAAAAAAATTGAGAAACACTGAGCCTTATACTCTGTAGATTCACGGTGTGTATAGGCCAGTACCAGCCTCTCACCAGTGGCTTGTGCTGRCCTACTTCAAAGGACTCTGAAATAACTCAGAATTTACCAGAAAGTTGCTTCATATCCAAAGATGTTAATTAATGTACAGACTGAACTCTTTTTATGYTGTAAAGTCCCACATGTGGACTTTAAAAGCAAGTTTTAACAGTTGTTACCACTTTGGAGTTTGTACTGTTAAAATCACACAGGATTACTTTAAATCACACTATCTGCTATTTACATTGGAACTGTTACGAATATTTTAATGAAAATAGTCAGTAAGTGCTGATGTTACACAGAAAAGAACATGAGAACAAAACTCTTTTTCAGAGTTGTGGGTCTGAAATTGAGGGAGTCATCAATAATCTGTAATAATTTATACACAGAGATGGTGTTTGTGATTTGTGTCATGGGATCTAATTGTCTCGGTTTCAAAAGAAAAACAGCTGGAGCTAAACACCTTGAATTACTAGCAAATAATCACAGAGTCATAGAACAGTTCAGTCGGTCAGTTGGTCCAACTTCCCTGCTCAAGCAGGATCTTCCCAGAGCACATGGCATAGAATAGTGTCCAGACAATTTTGGGCTATCTCCAACAAGGTAGACTTCACATCCTYTCTGGACRGCCTGTTCAGTGCTCAGTCACCCACACAATAAAGAAATYCTTCCTCATATTTAGATGAAACTTCCTGTGTTCCAGTTTCAGCCCTTGCACCTTGTGCAATTGCTGGGCCCCCATGGAGCAGAGCCTGGTCCCTGCTCTGAGTCCGTCCTGCAGACAGGGACAGACAGGGATGAGGGCCCCTCTCAGCCATCTTTTCTCAATGCTGAACACCCTCAGCTGCCAGAACTGGACACAATGCTCCAGATGTGTCTCACAGGGCTAGGCAGAGGGGCAGGATCCGCTCCCTGACCCATTGACAAAGCCTTTCCTCGCACACCCCAGGGTTCAGCACCTTGGCCCCAGGGCACATGGCTGGCCAGGGGTAGCTGGTGACCCCCAGGTCCTTCTCCACAGGGCAGCTGTCTAGCAGGGCAGCCTCCAGCCTGCACTGRGGCTTGGGGTTACTCCTCCCCGGGGACAGCACCCTGCCAAGACCTGGTGAAAAACAAAACTCCCCAAAAAACAAAACAAACACACAAACACACACACATAGACACACACAGACACACACAAAACCCTCAAGTATGAAATGTTTAAAAGACTCCTCTAACATTTAAGGGGAAAGACATTTTCTTCTCCACAGCAAAACCAYGAGTTCAGAACCTGCAGGCATACACATGCAGAGCAGTGAGACTTGCCTAGGTCACCAGGRTGTAAAATGGGCATGAACAGACTCTTCTTTTAAGTTCTCTTTTCTTCAAATCTTCTGTCAGTGCCTAAAATAACTAATTTGCTGGGCACTTAAATTAAAAAGGTGGGCAACCCTGTTCAGTAAGTTGGCAGTTCTCTATCTTGCCTCTGATACATGCAAGGAACAACATCAACTACTGGACATAAGAGGAGACAAAAGAGAAGTCTAGACACTCCATTTCATCTTTCAACAAGATCTTCACTATCCTTCAAAATCCTCAGCATTCCCAAAATAGCATCAAAGTGGGTCTAATTCGATCGCCATAAAAAAAAAAAACCCAACAAACTATCTGAACAAAATATTGACTGTTTTTCATCTTGATTTCATGTATTTTAAAAGCTTTCTTACATCTTCAGTTCTTTTTCAGAGTACTGTGCCCATAGAACTATTTCARTCCTTATTGCCTCTAACAGAAGAAGGATTTAGTCCATATTTGACTATAAGTTTCATATAGGCTCAAAATTTGAAACAATAAAGAATTTCACTTTAGATTAAAATAAAAAGATGCCTAAATGAAATCAAAACCACATTATCTCATGAAATAACAGTTTTACCACACAAGCCCTACAACTGTAATGTCTTCTCTTTGGCCACCATTTTCTACTTTTAAGTGCTCCCTATATCTGTAGTCATAAATATTAATATTCAGGTATTTCAATCCCCTTAAGTGGCAGAAGTAAGTTTATGAAGCTTCCAAACTGCATCTCTTGATCAGCTCACTGATATAGCTTTCAGAATTAATAGACAGAAAGAACAATTTTTCAATCAATATTGTGTATATTTAAAAAGACAGACTTGCACTTACTAAAACAAGATTCAGTGATACTGTCATGTAAATTATGGACAACCCCCAACATAAAATACTCTTCACCATCACAGTAACTACACAGAATTGTGCAGCAGACAGATATACACAAATAAATAAATGGCTTAAATAAGTGGATTATTCGGTGGTGTAAAAATAATTAAATAAACATTCATTTTCTTGCTGTGATCTTGGGAATTCATTATTCACATGTTTACTGCCAGCTCATGTATTTACACTGTAGCTTTGACAGCTCCTTCTTAAAAAATGTCTTCAAAGAATGAAGAAAACCAAGTAACACTGCCTCTACAAACTATTCTGGCACTGCATGTTCTATTTTTTCAAGGTTTAAAAAAAAAAATTCTGAAAAAGTTAACCATTTTGTGGCTTGGAATAGAACATGACCAAGCCCCATRCCTAATCTCAATATTAGATACATCTGACAGACACCTTTGAAACAGCCCACAGACAATTCTTAAAAATGGTTAGAGCTCATGGAATCAGAGCATGGTTGCGACTGGAAGGGACTTTAAAAGCGGATCTCATTCATGTTATGGGCAGGGACACCTCCCACTAGACCAGGTTTCTCCAAGCCCCAACCAATCAGGCCTTGGACAATTGGATGGAGCAGCCATAGCTTCTCTGAATAACCTGTGCCAGGGCCTCCCCACCCTCACAATAAAACTTTTCTTGATTATTCCCTAAACTAAATCTATAAACATATGCCAGTTTAAACCATTACCCCTTCATCCTGTCAGCACAGGCCCTGGTAAGAAGTCTTTCTCCATCTTTCTTATAAGCCCCTGTTAACTGCCCAGCCATCCAGAAGCCACCCTGACAGTCACTCTCACACCACCTGAGCTGGGACAGAGGTCCTGCACAGAGGTCCTGCACAGAGGTCCTGCACAGCGACATCTCCACACCTACACAGTCAGACTAGGTTTCCTTACCAGCTCAACCCTACATTTCCCATAGCAGTCTCAGATGTCTGAAACCTTAAAATAATTTTATTTTGGTGCAGTAACAAAATCACGGCTCGAGCTGGTATCTCCAAGGAGGAACCTCTAACAAAGGAACTCCTTGGCTTTTCCAGCCTTTCAGTCTAAGGGCAGAAAAGTCTGTGGGTTGTCAGCTGCTGCTGAGTGTCTCTGAGTGTCCCTCACCTGGCTGGGCCACAGGTCCCAGTGCCCTTTGTTATGCAAAGGGTCATAACAGTTCACAGCCTCTTGCTCTGGCCACCCAAAGATCAACCAGCAGCTTTGCACTGTAACTGCACTCTGAGCTACCAGCACTGACACTGAATGGATACCTAAAATACTAGAAGGCTGCAATGAGGTGTTGATAGAGCCTTCTCTTCTCCAGGCTAAATACCCAAAGCACTCCAGCCTGCCTCCATAGAAGAGGGGCTCCAGACCATGGAGCATCTCTGTGGGCTACTCTGGACTTGCTCCATCAAATCCATGTCCTTCCTATGCTGGAGCCCCAGAGCTGGAAGCAYATCTGAGGTCTCACTTTAGCAGGGCAGATGATACCTATGGTTTATGTCAAAGTGACAAGGTGCTTATGAGGCCTATGATTGAAAACTTTCCATAAACKTTTTATATATTATCAATATAGAATGTAATAGCTTYTTATGTATTATTAATATACAATGTAATAGSTTTCAATATATTATCAATAATAGCCTTTCCATATATTTATAACTTAYATTTAAAAGTTTTTATATAGAGTATCAGCAACATACAGTGTATCAGGTAGATGTAATCCAGCCAGCTGCATTAGTACATGGACATGTAAAATCGCCAAGGAGCATAAATCAGAAAAAGTTCTGAAGAAGTAGACAGGTAGATGTTATACTGAGGAACAGTAGAGAGCACTGATGAGAACTTGGCAGAGGCACAAGACAGTCAGCTGAAAAATKAAACATGAAGACCTGGAGGACGAGAAAAAAAAATGAACATCACATTGTGCATGCCCTGAAGACAAAGGTGAAAAGTCCACCATGATGAAGAGGATGGTATCTCTTTAGAGGGAGACTCCCACGACCACCGAATTGAGCATGACACATGCATACTTGCAGAACTGTGATATCGTGTATTTCCGTGCCCATATATAGTGGTGGGCATAGTGACGATAGTAATGTTAGACCATGCTTGCTGTATAAATACCTGCCAATTCTAAGCGAAGGCAGGTGGGTTAGGAGGAGAAATCCCCCTCACCTCCAGTGCTACACCAGCGCTGTAATAAACAAATACCTGCTCTATAGACACCGGTCTATAGGGTTTTTTTCTAGGCCTTTTTCGGGCATCAGTTTTGGCAACAAAGCGCGGCAGGACCTCTCTGCCTGGCTGCAAGATCTGTTGGAGTTGGGGACTCCCTCGGGCGCCCCCGAGATTTTCTTGGAGGGACTCCGCACTTCACTGGCTCTCTGTGGGGGTAGGCAAGGACTGATGACTGCAAAAATTTAAGGTATTTGCACTTTGATTTGTAATGGTTTTGGTTTGTTTGAGAAGTTCCCATAAGATGTATGTGACAACATATGGCGGGCACGTATCACAGGTGAAATTCCTGAGTTGACA